TCTACTTCTACTTCTGAACTACTTCTAACCCAATTTCACTTTTTATGGGGACAAAGTCTCACGCAATCACTAATGAGACTCGTCTCCAGGCTACCGAAAGTATGATGAGCAAAACTGTAAATAATTATGTACTACTTACACTTCGGTGTGTAGAGGATTTGACCATTATAATGTGCCCTGTTGTCGGCACTTCTAGGTGGCAAAAGGCCACGGTGCGCAAAATTTTGCAGTTTTAATTTCAAAATGTTGACATAATGGGCATGACGATACATGATTACATGTAGGTGCTGCGGTCAGGCCATTATGTAACCCAAAGAACTTTGTAGTCTATGCGTAACTTATTTTTACACCTGTACATTTTCTATTAATACTTGGAAAGCATCACATGAAGACCAGCATAATGTTTTTATCTTAACTCCTCATAGCTTGAAAACCAAACAACCCCCATCTCAATATTTTTATATGAATTATGACCGTAGGTTGATCATTTCATTTTGGAGATTTTATAAAAAGAACAGTGGTGATACAAAATGCTAATCTCTAAAGTTTCGGAAGGCACTCATTGCTACCGCTACAGGATAAGGTTTGGTCATCTTAGATTACTCCGGTGGCAACAAAAACTTATAACTATTTTATTACAAAACTTAACTGATTCCTAGTTGTGTTGGATTTTCTCAAGATTGAGAATAAGCGTGAATCAGAGGAGACGGGCGTTACACTGGCTTCTCCTTCAACTACTCTTATGAGCACAATATGCAAAGCAGAGTAGCTCAACACGACAACATATGAAAATAGTTGTAAAACTACAAATAGCCATAAACAACCGTAAATAACATCCATAAATATCCATAAATAATCTCCGCATAAAATTTATGGTCGTCCCGAAAGTAATTTCACTTATTTCAAGAAAAGCCACAATACGCGGAACAAAAATTCTTGAAGGACATCAATGCAGGTTTTCATGCTTTTCCAAATGATTACATTTTGCTGCAATTTGATCAGCGACTTCTTGGAAATTTGCCAAGAACTATGGCCATGTTTCTACCGTGATCGAGTTTTGCTATCCGTTATTCGTGATGAATCTGATGCCGACTCCCCGAAGAAGTTTGAGTTACCGATAAATAGAGTAAAGCCTGCAACAGGAGGTAAGGCAATTTCTCTATCCTCTCCATAGCTCGCCATGATTTTTATTAGGGTGTCCCATAATTTTCTTACCGTTTTTACCCTAAACATCAGCATTTCTCGAGAACTGGACACCTTCAAAGTTTACAAACACATAGTTGTACTTCTGTATGTATAAGCTATATGATCACGTGCGTGAGAAGAGCTCAGGATGTTTGGGGGCGGAATTTGCCATTTTACCCCATTTATTTCTTCCTTATCTCTAGCCATGGAAAAAAATACGAAAATAGTACAATTGAATGTGCGATGTGTCAAGCATAGATTAAAATTGAATGAGGAATTTTTAGACATTTTGGGGCGGAGATTTTTGAAGGAAAAGCTCGTTTTCGACTGTTATCAGATTTCAGCTCAAAATTTCAGGTGAAATACGATTTGGGCGGATTCTTCATAGCCATCTTGTAGAGCTTGCTTTGCCCTGTCAAATAATTAGTCAAGCCACATCAATTGAAAGAAAAATACAAAGAGACGACGGTTATAATAATAACGGTAAAAGATTATGGGACCCTAATAATAAAGGTTCTATCAGAACAAGCAATTAGCAGATTTAGCTTAGTACAAAAAGCACCAAAAAAAACTTTGGAATATGAAACTTCTGGAAATGGATAATGATTGAGCAATAACTCAACAACGCCCAAGGACGTTTGTTTATCAGGCTTTGATTCTAAAGAGTAAGCTAGCTTCGAAAACATAGTAATTACGGTGATCTTTCTTTCAGAAACTTCATAAATAGAAGAAAAACTAACTAGAAAAGAAAAACTGCGTTGAATGAACTGGAACTGCTAAACCGCTATTGCTTTACGAGGCTTGTGTCAAAATTTGAAAAAAAACTGTGGCGAATTTTGGAAAGGAAAAAGGAATCGCTTTGTATCCTAAAAGGGTTTGCTCTTTCCATCCATTACAGATAGTTTTTTCGAATCGGTATAAAAAATTTTAAAAAAGAGAAAAACTTGACTACGGCAACGATATGCGGTTCATTCCAGTTCACCATCTTATGCTGATAATGAGATCGTTTCCCTGCTGAGACTCACTTGCGGTTAAAAATGTGAAGCCACTAGGTTTCGATACATAATGTAAAAATCCAGCTTAAAAGTGCTGACAAGCAGGGTATTGAGTCCACTGAATCCAAGAAATGCTCACTTTTTTCCGGGAACGCAAAAAAGTCTCAAACTACTAATTCTTGAGGATGCGGAGTTATGTTGTTTGGCAAATTTGGGCGTTTAAACGCTTCGGACGCTCATACTTCGTACGAAGAGCGCCATCGCAGATGTGGATGGTAGATTTGAAATCAGCTCATCAAGGCGATTCTACCGATATGCCATTTCTTCCAGTTCGCTACCTTGGGTTGAGATCGCTCCCTGTCAATTTTTGGGTAATTTTTGATAGGTCATTGGTCAAAGCGGTGAAAATATTCACTTAAGAAAGCATGCAAAACTGCATCAAATGTTGGCAAGATCTTCTACAAAGCTTTGGCGCGAAATGTGCAAGCCTCTTGAGAGCGAAATTAGTGCCATTGATATTAGGTCATTCCGAAAATAATTTTGCTTTTTTCAAAGAGGTGTCGCAATTGCTAAGTTTTCTAGAAGATTTTGATAGCATTCAATGCAGCATTTCCTCTTTCTGAAGGTTATAAACTCATAGCAGCACAAACATAGGTAGACCTTGCAAAATTTTATTTATTTATTTTATTTTATTTTAGTTTACACTCACGGTGCACCAAAGAACAACAAAAATAAAATAAAACGCTAACACGTCGAACAATAACATGATAACAGCTTGTCCATGGCTTCAGGGAGAAAACGATGGACGTATAAGCAATCCACTAACCTAAGGCCCTTTAAGATATAGCAAAATCTGTTTCAAATGCCTGATGAGTGCAAATATGGCTTGAGAAACAAAGAACTGGAGAGTAATGCATCCTCCAAAGTTATTCTGAAAACCTCTTTTTGTGTGCCAGCGAGCTTATGGGCGGAAACTAGCTGACAGACCCCAGATGAGTATACCTTTTGGAGGATAGCAAGACTCTAAGTTGAAAGGCATAGAGGTAAGGCATAAGCGGAAGTAACCTCGGCGCTTAGGTGTGACTGTAATAGGAAGACAAGAGGTAGAATCATGTACCCTGGCATACAAGGCAAGTTAATATGATCGTTAGTGAAGCAGGGTGTCTAAATTAGTGGCAGTGAACAAACGAAAATAAATAGCTAGAAAAAATGATTCAATGTTTTTTGACTATCAAAAAATGAAGCGAAATGCATTTGCTACGTAGACTGGGTTGAAGATTTGACGAGGTATGGAGGGCTTGCGAGGTGTGGGCGACTTGACGACTTGACGAGTTGACGAGGTATATATGACTTGGCCAAGAATGAGCGACTTGACGAGGTACCACGACTTGGGGAGGAGTAAGAGACCTAACGAGGTATGGCGACTCGACAAAGTGGGCGACGTGACCAGCTATGGAAGACTTGACTTGACTAGGTAACGGCTTGGCGAGGCATGGAGAGTGGTTGGAACAATGGTGGATGGCGCACGTACTCATAACATCTAAAAATCACAGATTTCTAGTAGCTGTAACACATTAATATTTTGTAATCTTCTTTTGAATATTTTGGAGTTTTCACTAGAAACGATGTAATCCGGTAGGACCTAAAACCATCGGGTTGTTCGACAAATGAAAGAGTTGAAAGTCATCAAAAATCGTTTTTTTCCCAATTTGCGATAGTAAAGACCAAACCTACCTGATCGTTATCATTCTAGTTCAAATAGGAGCGGCTGAGAAAGTGGCGCATCTAAAATTGGTTCTAGAAGACAGCAGATGCCAACCAACATCAATAAAATCCATTTGAAACACCCAGTTGTGGTTTAGTAAGGTTTTCTATCGATCCCGTGGCTAAGATCCCGTGGCTTTCGATCCGCGAAATTCCGCGAAACTAAATCGCTATCTGGTCTCTGCATATCCATGAGTCTGTTCAACAGATAAGTCTGTAACTCATGGACTTTAGCCTAAAAATTGTTCCTTTTTTTGCAAGGATGGCTTCAAGAAGAAATAAAATCGAGTAGACCAATTTCCCACGGTTCTGCCAGGAATTTCGGAATATTTTACTTATCTAGCTCAAGGTGTTCATTATCCCCATGTGACCATCCTCATTGGGCTATAAAAAGTTCTAATTGACCCACATAAAGGCTACTGCATGACGAAGGCGCAGAACCTTCGAGCGCGAGTGAAGCTTTATTAGCCGTAAAGCGCATGAAGCGCAGGGTCTACAACGGTGAAGATACACGAGCGCCGAGTTCGCGTCTGCTCAACTAATACTGCTTCTGCGCCTTCGTCCTGCAGTAGCCTTTATGTGGGTCAATTAGAACTTTTTATAGCCCAATGAGGATGGTCACATGGGGATAATGAACACCTTGAGCTAGATAAGTAAAATATTCCGAAATTCCTGGCAGAACCGTGGGAAATTGGTCTACTCGATTTTATTTCTTCTTGAAGCCATCCTTGCAAAAAAGTTTTGGGCTAAAGTCCATGAGTTACAGACTTATCTGTTGAACAGACTCATGGATATGCAGAGACCAGATAGCGATTTAGTTTCGCGGAATTTCGCGGATCGAAAGCCACGGGATCTTTTTGATGCGCAGTTTTTGAAGCTTGCGCTAGAGGATCTGCTGTTTGTGCATGGTAGAGGTGGTGGTATTGGCGAATGTTATGCAAAATCATAGCTCGGGCCTTTAGCTATAATTCGCATAATGAAATCTGTGACAGACACATAAAAACACACACAATTAGACAGACGGCTTTATTATACAGCAGTAGGATTCTTTGCCTCTCAAAACCATTGGTTACGCAATGAGTTGAAATAAGCGTCACTTTCCAATTTTGGTTCGGGACGTTGTTCGATAGCGTCCTGGAAATCCTTCAAAGCTCGCAACTCACATTTCAACACCATATATATCCAACTCGACACAATCAAGAAGAAATATGGAGGAACCTATAAGAAACTGCCTATACTATGTATGACTTTTATAGAGATATTACTCACGTACACGGCTATCAATAATATCGCATAAGTTACTATGTGAAGTTTCTCACGAAAATTACGTATCACGATATTCCCTAAATATATCCGATTTGAAATCTCTCTTGATCGGCCAATGTGACTTACCTATTATGAACAAGCCGAATACAAATAGGTGTGATATAACAATGGGAAAGAGTATGCGCAACACTTTCACGTTCCCTTGTATTTCATAGCGTAAATCAAGAGAGTACATTCTAGATTTACTTCATAGATATGAATTGTGAACTAGCATGGATTTAGCACTATGTGCTTGTAAAGTTCATGTAAAAGGTACTTCGTGATCTGTACGTAATCAACTTACCCGCTGTTAAGCTTTCTCTTGTTGTGATAAAGACAATATGCGAAGACCAACATAGATATCAAGTCAACGATAAGCATAATAAAGTATATCACACTCATTCGGGGTGTAGCGGAATTCGGAATGCCTGCACATTGTGCCAGCACTTCGGCATCGTCTGTAGCTGCGAGACCCCATCTCATGCAAAGTATGGATAGCAGCAACTGCAATAACAGAAATTCACGAATACCAAGCGATTCCATTTGTGTACTCACCACCATGGCAGCTAAGGTGGGCCCTACATACTTTCCTTCACGTTCGTAATGTCCCAAACGATATGTCGCAAGCACTCGCTCAATGGTTAGAGCAGCCTAGAATTTGACGTCAGGCTAAGTGAGAATAGGAAATTTATAGAAACCTGTATCAAAATAAAGCCGATAATACATGTAGTTAGAGGGATTAGCGACCAGGAGCACTCTGTCGTGTAAAATATCAGCGAGCAGGGTGAGTTTTCATTGATAATGTGATGAACGTGAAAAACCTTAAAGAAAAAAGTTACTGTTTTTTTCGTGGGCGAGTTAACTATAATAAAATATTTGGGTGAACGGTGAAAAATGGGACACCTAGAGAATAACTGTAAATTTCTCAAAAACGAAAGTGATTGGACTTTCCAATATTGATAGATATTAGAATATATAATTCTCTTTCAGACAATATCTGTATAAGGTCATTCACATATCTAGTAATTTTTATACTTGCTGAAGTGCAAAGTGAATGACTTCGACAAATTATAAACGAGCAGAATCTGCGCAGTGAAACATGTGAGATGATCCAAAGTACCACTGCTGTAAAGGGTGAAGGTACAGTTACCAAAACGACGATGGCTTGCTGTCCTCAATGCTCGAAGTCAGGAGATATGGTTATTAGCAATTTCGAGAACGGATATGTAAAGGCTACCGCATAACGAAGCCGCAGAAGCAGTATTAGTTGAGCAGGCGCGAACGAAGGGCGTGCGTAACTTCACCGTTGTAAACGCTGTGCCTCATGCGCTCCGCGGCTAATAAAGCTGCGTTCGCTCTCAAAGGATTGCGCCTTCGTCGTGCAGCGGCCTATATATTGTTTGCTGCCTTGCAAGTGAACACATGTTTTTTGGCTACCTCAGACAATCGATCGGACCCCTCCGCCGGACCCTCGGAAACTGCCAGGGTCGCGCCGGACCCAGTTGACCAATGAGAGAAGGGCAAATGGGCGGTCCATCGCGGTGGCATCACTGGCAGGCAAATGGGAGGCTTCTCCGGCCCTGCTGCAAAGGTCCGCCATTTCTCCGGCGCGACTCTGCCAGATTTGACGGACTCCGCGCCGCAGAGGTCTGCGCGGCGCGTGTCCGCCAAATTTGGAAGACACGCGCCGGAGAAAATCGGAGGGGTCCGGAGCAGAAATGGGAGGTATCCGGAGCAGAAAATGGGAGGTATCCGGAGCAGAAAATGGGAGGTATCCGGAGCAGAAAATGGGGGGTATCCGGAGCAGAAGATGGGAGGTATCCGCCGGAGAAATGGGAGGTATCCGGAGCAGGCTGCGTATCGATTTGGCGCGTAGCAAGCAAACGTCTAACTCCACGGTGATGAGTCCTCTGTTTACGCTCTTTGTCCATATTTTAGTCGCCGTTTATTTGATTCTGTTGTTTTTGCGCGTTTCTTTACCGTTTTTTCCTTTTCCGCGTTGCTCTTCGTCGCGTTGGCGTTTATGTTGCTGTAAGTTCCTCGTTTTCAGGTTTATGTTTGAAATTTTCGTGCGGTTGCACTCAATCACCTTCAGTGTTTGGCTCTTTCCGACTTGCTGAGACATCGTAGACTATTGATGGAGTGGTTTTTGTGATTAATTCTGGATTTTCGAAACAATGAGGTTAGTTGCGCAACTATCTAGTGTTGTTGTGATGAAAGTATCGTCTAAATAATCCGTTTATTGCTATAGTGTGGACCCCGGCCAGGTTCCCATAGGTACCTCCGCGGCGCGCCCGCAGCGCATGCCTTCAGTGCGCTTTTCGTTTCGGCTCTGAAGGGATTTCTTTCAATTTCCTCTTTCAAGTGTGTTTGTTCTCTTCTGTAATCTCTACTTTAGATGTAAACGACACACGTCAACTGCTGGTGATGGATTTTTACGAGTCTTGACAGTCTTGCAAGCATTTGTTTCGAAAATCTTGTTTTTTTCTCAATAGTGAAGATTTCGGTGTAGTTCAGAGACATCTCTCCAAATGTTCAGAATAAGTGTATATGCAGTTGATTTTGTGGAGTGTAGATGCTTCTAGCCTTTTGTTACACCATCAGAGCTTTGCAATCGTGCTCTTGAGCTCAAACTTTCTGGGTTTTTTTATGAACAGAAGGAAGACTTTTCAGAATTGTTCTTCGACTTTTCCTGTTACTTCTATCATCCATCGCTGGTAGTGTCATACACTACTAGCGATGGATAATAGAAGATTCCAGTTATTTATGAGATTGACTGGAATCTGAGCGCTAGTAGTAGAAGTTGTGAAGGTTCTCCTATTGCCTTGGCTTTTCTCGTGTTCGGATTAGAGGCCTCCACATCTCATTTCACTCCTGTTTTCGGTTATAATGCTTTTTTGTTCGTAAGTGAAATGAGAAGCGTTCAAGTCGGGCGCGCGTTGCGTGTGCGCCGCGCTAGTACCTGAAGCTGGCCGGGGTCCACACTATCTCTCTCGTACGTATGCTTACCAAGTCGATCGACTTTTCATCAGATGCAGATCCTCACTATATCGTTTCTGGCTTGAAAGATAGGACAAGGCAAGAGATATGTTGACAAAAGTCTTGGAGGCAACTCCAAACGATGTTGAAGTTTTGTGACTGTTACTGAAGCATTGTGACTGTTACTGTTGCTTAGTCACATCACATTGCTTCCAGTATTGCTTAGCGAGATTAGGGACTGATAAGGCTAGGTAAGCATGTAAATGTGAAATGTTTGAGTCACATAGCTTCTTCTTTACTGTTTATGTGACTTTCAATTACAATTTGCAGAATCGCTTTTGAACGAGCGTTGGAATTGCAAAATGACAATGTTTGTGCTCTCTCAGCACTTGCCATTTTGGATTACAATACGCATACTGTCGAGGGAGCCCAAAGTGCAGTGGCTTGTCTAGGCCAAGCGTATAGTCTGGAGCCGGAGAATCCGGTTGTCTTGGTCCATCTTGCCAACCACTTCTTCTTCAAAGGAGTCAGTGCAGAAATTCTTTGAATTAATTACGAATTATCTATAAAAGGGACCTTTTAAATTTGTCCAAGCTGTTACATCGAGGTGTTTATCGCTTTATCTGAAGGCATCACTTTTTCAGGAAATGAACAAGGTTGAACGGTTAGCGTGGCATGCAATGAGTATGACGGAAAGTGACGAAATCAAGGCCGAAGCTTGTTACATTCTTGCGCGGTTTTTCCATTTCAACAGAGACTATGAAAAGGCGTTCAAGGTAAGTTGCATATGCAAGAATTTCAATCCATGTCATCATCGTGTCCTAGTACTATTATCAAGCAACTACGTTGAATCATCCTACTTTCGTTTTGCCCCAGTATGGCCTTGGACCTCGGAATTCGAAGATGTTTGGATGAATATAGCTCATGTATATATCGCACTTGGACAATATGTCCCTGCTTTGCAAATGTGAGTTTATGGCGTTCCTCGCTGTTTTGTTTCATGTTGCACAGAATGCTTTTTTGATCTTTTTGTCATTTTCTTACCATGTTAAAACCATATGCTTATACTGTGGTGTTACAAGGTTCTTTTTGCAACTAGGAAATTAGTTTTTCTTTGAATATTCTTATCACTCCTAGTATGGTTTTTGTAATATGAATTAACTGTTGTACGTATGCTGGAGATAGATAGATAGATTTTTCGAAAGTTTGATAAATTTGAAATAAATGTCTTATCTCTTCGTTCTTTCTTCTATCTTCTATCCACAAACGCTAGGGGTGAGAGGGAGGGGGTAGAGTACGGGGTGAGGGTCGCGCTAAACTCCTACCCGGGGGGGGGGGGTCCTATTCGGCTTATTTGGGTGGGGTTTAGAGACAAAATTGGGGTTTGGAGCTTAAAGGCAGCGTCCAGGCAAGTCTGGACCTATGGGGATTTTACATGGAAAGTATTTTGGGGCCCTAACTAAGCCACTACCCAACCGGCAGCTCAAGTAGTGCTCTAACGCCTGAGATATTCTGCTCGAAACCGGACCCCGCGACCGTGTTTCGCATGGATTCATGGCGCAAAGAGTGGATCCTGGCGCGAAACTGCCATGAATCCATGCGAGTACGTTCGCGGGGGTCTGTTTCGAGGGGAATATCTCAGCCATTGGAGCACTACCTGAGCTGCTGCTTCGGCAGTGCCTTAGTTAGGGCCCCAAAAGTACTTTCCATGTAAAAGCCCCATAGGTCCAGATCTGCCTGGAAGCTGCCTTTAATTAGGGCTAATTACAGTATGCCGCGATCGGGGGGCTCCGGCGCACAAAATCGGGGGGCTCCGGAGCAGAAAATGGGGGGTATCCGGAGCAGAAGATGGGAGGTCTCCGGAGCAGAAAATGGGAGGTATCCGGAGCAGAAATGGGAGGTATCCGGAGCAGAAAATGGGAGGGCTCCGCCGGACAAATGGGAGACCCACCGCTGGGGATACGCCGCGACCCTGCCACTTCTCCGGCGGAGGGGTCCGATCCGCTGTCTGAGTACCATCCTTACGCTTTACTCACGCATATGCGTTTTGCCCCAATTTTCATCTATCTTTGGTAAATATAGATTGAAGCATGATTTTTTGGTTTTTATTGTGTCAGAAAACACAATTTTTCAAGTTTTTCGCTTTTATCTGGAAATAAAAAGGAATCTCACATATCTATATAATATACCAAATGAAAAACCATGAAGAGCTGCTATGTCACTTGCTTTATGAATTTATGTATAGCAGCATAAAATTGAAAGATGTACAAAAAACCGTGTTCGAGTTCTTTATGACGCCACGCGTAAATTGTGGGAAGGAGCGTTAACGCGTTATCAGAATGGTAGACGAAGGCCGCTTATGTAAGCGACGTTTGAGCTTCAGCCTGCTTTTTGCAAGAAATCTCAAAATGTCTTAAAAATCGAGCTGTTCCATTTTTTGCCGTTCACCCTAATAGCTGTATTCTAGCACTAACGTAGGTGATGTCAGTCATCACGTTGAATATGATGCCATAAGCGAAGAGAAGATAAGTGAGGATCTGAATGAGCGAAACCACAACTTTGATTTTGGAGGTGTAAGGCGAAAGCCTTTGGGTTCGTGAGTGTCTTATTCGATGTTATAAAAACTACCTTTATGTTTCGATGAAAAGTTGTGCTTCGTGAAAAACGGATTCCTAACAAAACAGTGAAGATCACAGAGAGACATGAACTGATAGCAATCGATGTGTACACACCGAGGTATGCGGGATCTGTTATAAACTGCCTGAGTATCAAGCACAAGCTGACGTTCTTCATCTGAAATGACATCTCCATGTACATTGCAATGACAGTAAATTGCATTGGATTCAAGCGTCACATGCTCTAAAAAAGGAGGAAGTGACTGCAGTATTCATAACCTTCTCTTTGTAGATTAGCCTATTATGTTCAGATCATGAGTCTGACAGAGTATCTTTCAAAAATGTACAATATAAAAGCTGTGTGCCCCATATGTTTCTTAGTAAGCAGCTTTTTTACTCGCACAATTGCAAATGACTTCCGAGAAAAACTGAACTTTTAAAACTTTTGGGGCGGACGCTCCTATTGCGCGTGGGTGGACTCCGCCATAGCTGGCCGCGCCCTACTTGACAGCTCCAATAGGAGTGTCCCCCCGGAAGATTTAGAACTTCACTTTTTCCCCGGAAATCATTTGCGATTGTCTGAGTAGTTCAGCATACTGTCGCCAATCGCTCATCATAACATAGTAGATCTTTGAAAGTAGTACTGAAGTCAACTCTGTTAAATTGCCCGGCATTTCTACCAGCTTCAACCATGCTGTTAAATGACTGTGTGTTCCATATACAGGGTGTCCGAAATTGATGTGCGCACTGTTTGACCGTCAATACTCTTCTCTCTTAATATCCTTCGCCAATTTTGGTACCTTTGTACAGTTTTGGAGCGATTACGGGTTTGCGGTTTACCTGGGTGTAACATAGAAAAGAGACATCACAATAAAGTGGAAACTTTATACTCAGAATCGGCCCAAAGAGTTATGGCTTTTTTTGGTTTGTTTTCTGCCGCAAAATATGACCCTCGGTGGCCTAAAATCCTCGTCGAAGTTCTTACCGCACTTTTACAGTAATGAAAGACATCGGCCATCCGTTGCATACTGCAGATCTAAGTTGAAGCAGCTCTACAGATTGGTATCTAAAACTTGACATATCAAGCAATCAAGGTCAGACAATATGCACATTATTTTGGGACACCCTGCATCGAAATGCAAATTGCGACTAGGACTACATTTCGAAGCGAGAAGCACGAAGTGTGCTTAACACGCTAACCCTACCTTACAGCAGAATCTACAAGCATCAGAGTTAAGTCACTTTATTGAGTTGGTACGGTAAGACTAAGCTGGCTAGAATAAAAGTTATTTAGAAGCAATCTAGGCCAATATAAGCATGGGTTTATGATGCCACTTGAGTAAGTTAGGAAGATCGGAGAGTGGATATTTTGAGCAAAAATTTTTTTGACGGTGAACTGGATGAGGATAGTAGAATAGTCAAACTTTTCCAACAAGTTTTCGAAAATTCGCGCTTCAAATTAGACTAAATTGGGTATAAATTGTGTATTTGGCACCCACACATATGTTATATTGTTATATTTCCAACAAATTGCAAGGTTATAAATGAAACATGCGATCTTGACTGCACAAATTTTGACTTTTATGCGCAAGTGGAGGGATATTTCAAATCTTATTTGCAAAGATTCTGCAAACCACGGCTTGTATATACCCAATAGGCAAATTACTTACATGTACACTCACAGTGGAAACGAAACTTGAAAAGTCAAAGAAGTGCGTTTTCGGAAGGCAATCGCCCAAGGGCTCAATTGTTATTTATTGAAATACTGAACATTAAAATGTGAATTAGAGTTGTGTAATTATTACTGCAAACAAATCCTGGCAACAACAATTATTTGAAATTCAAAGAGCTTTTGTAGTCGCATGTCAGACGAAATTATTTACTAGCCAACCTAACATATTGAGACTGAAGACTAATTAAGCCTATTGGGAAAACGTCTCTGACAGCTTGAAACGTTTAATTCAGAACGTGTCTGCATTAACAAGCAGATTCTTCGAAGTTTGTTTACTTGTCAAGATGAGAAGATAAGAAGACTCGGTCCTAGGAGATGTCGACGATGTATTGAGTTGTTTCAAAAGTTCTGCCCGTTTTTTACCTCATTCAAAACTGTTGTTTGGGTGAAGAAACCCTTTTTAATGCACAGCGTTTTCTCGCTTGGAAAAATAATTCTCTTGAATCTTACAAGTGGTGAACAGGGCAACGCAGACAGCGTCGCCAAAAACAAAAAAAGGCGGTGTGAGGATTTATAAAAGCATTAGGAAAATTGATTTTTTTTACGTGCAATGTGACTTTGGAAGAACAGAAGTTCGACAATAACTGATTCTTTGACATTTTCTTTTTAGACACTGCGCTTCAAACCATGATTTTTTCTCGATTTTTCGAGCAGTCGGATCTTTTTATTGAAAAATCTTCTTTTAGAGATTGCTTTGCTCTATCGAACGATACCCTGCACCCTGATTGTAAATGAGGAGTACGTGACTTATCGCCCTACGATACCAGAGTGTAACAAGACTTATGTAACAATCTAATAAAAGTCCAACAAAGCTATTGTATCCCTATCAGAAAACCTTCTGCAAAAAGAATTTACAGGATGCTATTTATGTTAAAGTAACAAAACTGAAAGTTTCATCAATCACCCGACGAAACAGAGTCATTTCATGATGGCCTTTATTTAATAAACTGAGGTACTGTTGACTACTGCTCAAGCGGGACTTAGCCATTACTCTAAAGCTATTCGTAAGATGCTTTATTGAATGGAAGTGGAAAAATGCCCACAAGGTTGACTCCGCTTACAGTAGGTCAATGCAAAAGCTTGATAAGTTTTTGAATCCACAATCCAAATATGTTAGAATAGAGATAAACAAAAACTTCGAGCGACATGCTATGCGGGGTCTCCTCTTTCGAACTGCCGTATTTCCGTGATTCACTGAGAGAATGCTGAGGTAGTAAATCACAATTCTTTGTTTTGACCATATCTAACTACATCGATTGCGTGCGTAAAACCATCTGCCCAAACTGATTGCCAAATTCTACAATTACCTCATATTGAGATAGTGGCATGACACAAGATACGACACCCTAAACGTTTTTGGTTTCTCCTTTACAAACCAACTACCATGTAATCCGTACAATAAGTCCGGACTTATCTGCAATTTTGACACGAAAAATCGATGAAAAATCGCCCTCTGCGCCGCCAAAAGTCTTGCAGATAAGTCCTCCTAAATCCTTTATCAGATAAGTCCGCAGCAGATAAGTTCGCCTATCCTGAGCATGAGAAAGCGGACTTATCTGCAGGACTCTTGGCGGCGCGAGGGCGACTTTCGTTGTCAAGAAAGCGGACTTATCTACTAGGTCTGCTGCGGACTTATCTGATAGGCGGACTTATTGTACGGATTTTAGGGTAAGTACCATTTTTAATATAGCAGAACTGACTTGCGACAAAATAGACTGGGTCAGGGATAGAGTCCTTTGCCACGGAAAGCGTTAATCCTCTACCAGGAGACCATAACTTGCACAATGCTTTTTAAGCCTTCGCTATATATGAGTTGGGTTTGAAACTAGTTCGCAATAATTTCCAAAAAATCGGAATTGTCCTGCATCTGCCTGGATTCGCCTGGGAAGATTTTCTTGAATGAAGATATCTTGCACTTTCTAAAGCCTGTTTTTTTCGTTAGATTCGACCACGGCGGCCGGAAGAGGTGAGGAGGAGTGGGCATAGAGGTAGGTGAGCATGCTGATTTACAAACAAATTTTCTCCAAAAATACTCATTATTTTCATCGACTTCGCCGATTTTTGCCACCTTTGTCCTATGGGGCTGAGGCAGGGTATAAGACGTACATGGGCATGCCGAACGAAAACGTGGAGCAGGGGTCAGCCATGTAGAATTGGACAAAAACAGAGCAGTGCTGGCTTAGTAGATGTGGGAGGGTACGGCAAGTTCTTTCATGCTATGCTGGTAGGAGCGAGCCGCGTACCCCCCGGGAAATTAAGAGAATGGTATACCTTGTATACAGAAGTATGTTGGATACATGGAACGGGTGTATTAATGTCAATTAAACCTCAATCTCAATGCATCACACACACACACACACACACACACACACACACACACACACACACACACACACACACACACACACACACACACACACACACACACACACACACACACACACACACACACACCACCTGTTTACAATCATGCTCTATTGCTAAAACTATTTGGGATACCGCGCGTTCTGATTACAATCATGCTCTGTTACCAAGATGATTATTTTCATTTTGCCGCGCAGAAGTTACTTGACTGAGTATTTATTGCTGACTGATTAGTGGAGCGACCATAATTGATCAGTCAGCCGTTTTTTCAAACAAGGACACGTTAGACCCAAGGACAAGGATTCAAGGATTCCGTGCAGGAAAGTATTCCAGTCTTTTTCAAAACAATCTGGTCAGCTCTCCTTCCTTACTGACGAGTTCAGGGGGGCTACTAAACATCTTTTATCTCCGTCCAAGGGTGGGAACGAAAAGGAGTTTTGATTTTGATTTTGATTTTCTAATTATTACATCTGAAGTCCCTTGTCCATAACTTTTAGTTAGTATAAGGGCCTGCAGGATCGCGAGAGTCGGACGTGCGTACGGCTATTGCGCCGCGCACGTCCGATGTCACTAGAGCAGGTGCCAAATTTATCCCTTCGACCGGTTCGTTCGGTTCATAGATCAAATCACTACACTGTCCAACAGCAACTGAACCGAATGAACCTGTTTAACAGGATAAGTCTGGCACCTACCTGAGTCGACGGACGCACATCTGACGTGCGCGGCGCATTGGCCGTACGCACGTTCGACTCTCACGATCCTGCAGGCTCCTATAATTATAACTTATGTGCGTCCTACTAAGCACAAGTTGCAAAGTTAAAATTGCAAAAAGAAGATCATTTAGATTTCGGTAATTTCAAAAAAGCTCGCCAAAAACCCAAAAACCTTTAGAAAAATACAGAAACAAACATAAACATATGTTCTATGCTCTCGTCTTTCTAGCTAGGTAAAATTTTTGCTACGAAAGTTCCTACGAAAAGTTGCGATTTTTGTTTGAGAGTCAAGAGAATGTCTGCGTTTTTCACGAAAATACCTGCTCTCTAAATAGAGGAGGTTATAAAACCTATGTTTATGACTGTTTTGGTTTCGCTGTAACGGTTTTAGGTTTTTTGAGCATGCTCAAAAATTGCAAAATCAAAGTAATCCTCTTCATTTGCGTCGCCCCATCTATCGTCGTTTCCCCGAGATAGATGGGGCGTGTCGCTGCACAAGTCTGCAAATGTCCGTAATGGATACGGTATTAGCCGTGGGGCAGAATCGATATCGCCGAACAGCTGATTATTTTCCGACGCTGCAGCGATAGGTGGATTTTCTTTGCTTAATTATGCTTTTTTGTTTCAGATTTCGCCGAAAATTGCCAAAGATGAGTTTTTATTGTTCATTTACACTTATTTCATAGTATTTTTTTTAGTTTTGGCGCATTGCTGGTGCGTGCTTTTACTTCTTTTTTTTTTACTCTTGTGTTATCTTTAGCAAATTTTCCTTTACTGTTTCGTTGAATTGGATTGCATTATGCTTACATGTGTTTCCTGTTCATGTTGTTTTGTTCAGATTTCAGATTGGAGAACGAATGTGAGTTCCTATGTTCATTTTGCTT